CACGCGCGAAGCGACGTTCGCCGACGTATCGTCCTCTGTCTCTCCTTTCTATCTCTTTCTCGTCTTTTTATCACTGCCGTAAATCTTGTTCTTTCGTTGACCAGCGGCGACGATCGCCACGAAGTTTGCCGCCGTCGGCAGACGGTGCGCGTTCGTTTCTCTCGTCCGTTCGACCGTCCCGTTCGCGTCGGCGAAGGAAAGAGGAAGGCGACAGGAAGTCGTAAGGGTTAGAGGGAGAATAACGGAGCAGTGGCACGAGACGACGATCGACGCCGTCGCCGCCCCCGCTGTTATCGTCCGATGTGTGAAAAGTGCGCGAGTCCGCGAGAACGCGACGCCGACACAGTATCGATAGCGTAACGTGCTGAACGTTGCCGCGGAGGAAGTTTCACGCGCGGCAGCTTCATACCGAACGGGGAACGCGCGCTCGCGCGTGTTCCGATCGTCGTCGTTCCGCACACATACCGCGTCACAATTAAGACCGCGGTATCGAAATCGGAGGTAATCGCGCACGCGGAGTGGTGAGAGTCGATCGCAGAAATCAAGCGTCGATCGAAATTAAACGTCATCGAAGCGAGATCGGGCGGGCGATAACGGGGCGAGCGATCGGAGCGGCGAAGATGCATTCCAGATGGACGATGACGCCGCGACGTCTGTATTGTCTGTAACGGTCGCCGCCGTCGGTTAGGTAAGAAAACGTCGTCGTATTTATTATTTAATCGTCCCTCCACGCGAAAGTCCGCCGCCGCGATCCGCGCGCGACGGTGTATCGACGTGAATCGCGCGGGTTATGACGCGCCGCGCCGCTTAGGGACGCTCGACAAGCGCTCGTAACCGGAGCCCCGGGTAGCCGCGAGTGCGTGCGTGCGTGCGTGCGTGCGCGACAACGTCAGCGACAGCGATGGAGAACGACCCGGCGGCCAAGTCCTGGCCGTCGGGCCCGGGGACGGGCAAGGGATCGTCGCCGTCCTGCCTGGAGGCGTCGATGCCGCGGAAGTTCCGCGACGGGGACCTCCGTGCGGGGACCGCGGGCCTCAATTGGGCGCTGTGCGCCCTCTGCCTTGCCAGCTTCGCCGTGTCCGGCGTGCTCTTCTACCGCGAGCTCGGCTTGGAGTCCAGGATCGCGAGTCTGGAGGCACGCTGCATGCGCGTCCAGGATCCCTCGTCGCCGGTGGAAGCCCTGGTGCAGAGGCTCAAGGCGGAGATGCAGGAGCAACTGCGGCAGACGCAACGGCTCGATTCCACCGCGGTCTTCAGGCCCAAACGCGACATCTCCGAGTGTAATTGTCCTCCAGGTAAATTCGTCTTATTTGAAAACAACGTTGCTCCTCTCTCTCTTCTTCGTAAATTGATGCTTTACTGACTGAACGGCTTTAATGTATTTTATTACAACGTTTGCATCTCGTGAAATATTGTTTAATTGTTGATGATAATTGGCGTAATTATGGATGCTTTTACGTCGAATCTCGATATTACGAATTGTTGCAGCACTGCGTAATCACTCCGGGAAAAAGGCATAATGATAGTAAAAACCAGGGTAAGGTGGTATAATTTCGAATATTGTACGATTCTGAACGAAATAAGATTTAAATCTAATTTTCGAGGTTTAAAATTTGTTTTTTTTTTGTTTTGTGGGGAATTTCCTTTAGTATATTCTTCACATAATGGAAATCAAGGTTGCCAATCTTGAACCTCAAATTTGGATTCAAATATTTTGTTCAGAATTGTAGCATGCTCGAAATTATACCATGTTACCCTAAAAGTGACAACTGTACAAGTTTTATATGTAGAATTAAATGTACACACACACATAGTTGAATAAACTGTTGCATTCCAACTATAAAATAGTTTATTCAACTATATATTGTATATTAATTCTTATAATATACATGATTGGATTATTTATTATGATCCTGTGCATTTCTTTTTTTTGAAACACTTTGAAGATGTTAAAATATTTGTAAAAAATAATTATAAATAAGTATAAATTAATTTATAAGTAATTACAATCATTTATAATTAATTTTTAAATGATTTATAAAATACTTTAAACATGTTAAAATACATGTAAGAATCACTTAATAATTTTTGTATGTTTATGAAAATGATAAAAATCACTGTGTATATTAAGTTGTCACATTTATAGTTTCACTATCACTATAGTTTTTTTTTATAAGTGGAAAATTACATAATTAGCATAATTACGGATGCTTTTATAATAATATTGTTTCAGTTACTACGTAATATAATATAAAAATTATTATATATTAACACACGAGGATACGAGAAATGGATAAACTTAACATTTTACACACACATCTTTGTAGATTTGTTTTATTTCTTAAAAATTACAAATCATATTTCTTTGAATTGTCACAATATGAGTTACATATTGTAAATATGTAACTTCAAAATCATAGGCTATTTTCTAATAAAATTAATTAACGGCGTCTAAAATTTCACGTACTATTCCATCAAAAATAATTAAAAGATAATCAATTTCAAGGCACATATTTACTAGAAATGTGGAATTTTTAAATAGTGCTATTTTTCACGAAAATGAATATCCGATATGCCGAGCGATATGCGATCCGAACTCGAAATATCGCAGTAAATTATCATAATTTCTTCATTCAATGACACATGAAAAAACGTTTAATATTATACGAATTGACATCTCAGTAAAGTGCTAATCGAAGGATTTACAGCAACTCCTAATTGCGGAAGTAATCCACAAAACAAACTCCGTGTTTGTTTCCGGCGAATCCAATTATGTCGGAAAGAATTCTTGTTTCCAATGTATCGCAGATCTTACAAATGTTTGTGTAGAATAAAGAATTTTTGCAATCATTATAAATCGGTTTTCTAGCAAACCCTTCAAAAAAGGTACCTTGTGTAAGCTCTCGGTTCATTGAAGCGAGCGAAGAAAAGTGTAATCAGGACTTGTAAATGTTACGCTTTCTTCAAGTCACATGATACTATATCCGATCTCTTCATTATACTAACAAAAATACAACCGTACTTTTTTACGGTTAACGAATTAAGATTTACGAGACTCTTTAGATTAGGTACGCTCGCATCTTCTTATCTTCTTTGATTCCAATGAGAAAAAAGTTTTAAAGAGTCAGCAAATTACATATTGCGTGTTCTAAATCAAGTTGGAATACGGGGAAAGGGTACTTTGTTATCAAATTGTGCTGCGAACACTGAAATTAGCTGACTGTAGAAAAAAAAGTACTCCAACCTTTTGATATTGTATATCGTGCATTTACATTTTTATTACTACGGTAGACTCGTAATTCCATTTTGCCCACTCGACGTCGCGTCTGATATCGTTTTGCGAAAAGCGCGTTGCGCTGCTTTTCTATCGTGTCTTCTGTTTGAAACTCTATTCTAACCAAACGATTCTCTCTACAAACACTCGCTTTACGCTCCACGGCTTGCTTGCCGCGACTTCACTCCCGACTCTTATTCATGACAGAACAAAGTAGCAAAAGGGCAAAACGCAAAAGCCGCAATGTTGGAAGAACCCGCGAACGGAGTCACCTACCTCGCGACCTACGAAACGTGCGAACGTAATAATAAAAATGAGGAAGAAAATTCACGAGAAAAATCACGGTGGTTTCTGTCGTTTCTGGATCTCATCTCATACAGCATAGATCTTCAAGAGATTGTACTAAGAAAGTTCAGATGTTCTACGTTCTCGGAACGTTCCTATACTAGAAAAAGAGTAGTCGCAAATTGGATTAATTGCAATTTTGCTTGAAAGTGGACAAATCAGAATTTTCTAGTTGAATCTATTATAATTCTAATTGAAATTACTAGAATTCTGATATGATTAGACTCTTCTGGTTTGTTTATTTTCAGAAAGAATACTTTCGCGTTTTCGCGATCATTCTAGTATCATTTTATTTCTACATTTTCTTATACGTTTTTCTTTATGAAATCGGAAATTATAATAATGGCACTTAAAAAAAAATTGGTACGTTGAAATAAAGAATAAAATCCTTTTATTCACATCGTTACGAAAATCGCTGTCGGTTATATGCTTCAATCATTTAAAAACTAATTCAGAGTTGGATTAACAATTGAATGATTGAAGCATAACCGACATAGGTTAGATATTAAAGGAACAATGGTAATCGATATTAAAGGAACAATAGTAATCTAATCCCATGAATTAAATAATATTCTGTTTTTAACTTCCACCTATGTCGAAATGTAAATCATTTCTATGGTTATAGTTTCTATGGTTATAGTTTCAAAGTAGACATGGTTCATATTATGCACTTGTAAATAACAAACTAAATTTAAATCAAATTTAATACATTTTTTTTAGTTAAATTATTTTCCATTGTTTTAGTTAAATTAACGACATATTAGGTGCATAGGAATAATAGTTTTGACCTGTAGATATTAAAAATAACTCAAATTGGTTATAATTTGATATTACAAATTTAACAGTGTAATTGACAGTAATTTCGTAACGAATTTTTATAACTTTATTTCAATATACTAATTTTTCCTTGAGTGTAGCGTTATTATAATGATAATTTTCGGTTTCCACACAGAAAGATACATAAAAATGTACCAACCAAACGAACGGTCGCAAAAAAGTTATCCTCCCTTCTTTTCTCAGAGCAGGACATCCCTAAAATTTGCTGTTCGGAATACGACGTTTTCAGATTAAGTATCTACGTCATTCCAGTCGAATGTCGAGCAAATGTCATGGTGCACTTTGAAAAGAGTACGAAGGCGCTCCTTCTCGCGTTCTTGTCTGATTCGTCGACATTCCATCTGCGTGAGCCAAATGATCATGACTGCACATGATCGTCGATCGTCGTCAATCGGCTAATAAATAGAAGAAAGGAAGAAAGAAAGAAAGAGACTGTCCGCGTGTTGACTCGGTGAAATCCAGGCTTTGTGCGCGAGGCTCCTTCCTGTCATTAAGACAGATGCGCGATTGCTTCATTGCAGCTTTCATCAAGTCGCACTCGCCGAGGCTCCGACAATAACTGTTGCGATAATCGTGCTATGTACCCGTGTCATGATAACTTCACATATGCATCATCGGTTAAACGTGAGGTATCAACGGTACGTACCGTTAGGGAGGGGCGATGTAAAAATTGTACTACAAATATATATATATATATATCTACGTATTTATTTATTTTGTTTTATATTCTCCAACTATTTATTTCATTATACAATAAATACTCGCGTTTCAGAGCAATCTGCGTGTTTATATATGCCGTTACGGCCGTTACAGGTATTTGATGGTAACGAATTAATGCGTGTGTGTATAAATATTGATATAAAAATATTTTACGTATAAAAATATTTTTATATTAAATAGAACAGAGTAGACTTTTATCAATGTTACTGTATGATTTTCGCGAGATCGCGAAATACCGTTTAACTGGTATATACTGTGAAATTTTACGCGGAGAAGAAAACCTCCTTCTCTCAATCGAGCGGCTGCTTTACAACGAGAAAGCAACTCCTAGGAACGAGGAAAATCCTTGTGTTTTAGAACCGAAACTTGCAACCGCCGTGAAACCATCGAATTCGCGGGAAGGAGAATTTACGACCAATAAGTGCAACTTCAGCCCTTCGCGGCTTGCGGCAAGTTTATGTAGAGCAAATGATGTAGTTACGAGCATCATTAAGAGTCATTTTACGATAGCGATGCAATTTATTCTCTCTCTCTCTCTCTCTCTCTCTCTCTCTCTCTCTCTCTGTCTTTCCGCGAAATTGTCGATTTTCAAAGCGTACAAACTGCAAGAGTATCGACCACCTTTTCCTTCCCCGGTCCTTTTGCACAACCGCGCACGAAAAAGCATCCACGGAGTAGGTAGCTCGCTAATTGCAATAATTACTCCATTGTCGGACGCCGCTCTCCGAGTCCGAGGTAGGAACTATTTTCCGGCGAAGTACGGCTGGGACGGAAACGGAAGCGCGTATACGGTGAGAGGGAGGAGAAGTGGAACTGCCGGCCGGATTAATTCCGCGCTCCGTTTCTGCTCGCAGTCCACTCGCCGCTATCTCGTGTCTGACTCTTCTCTTCTTTATTTTTCTCCTTTTTTTTTCCTTATTCCGTTGGTAGCCGTACCTTTCTCTTATCGCGCGTCCACGGCACGACGAGCAACAAAAGGGGAGAGAGAGAGAGAGAGAGAGAGAGAGAGAGAGAACCGAACTCACAATTCTCGTTGACTCTCCTCGCGACGGCGTCCCAAAATTGAGACATGCGAGCTGACGCACCAGCATCATAAATCTTTGCCTTCTCCCTCGTAGC